TCATAAAAATAACGAGCTTTATATACCCACATGAAAACATAAATCACGGATTTATTTCAACAAGAATCAATGTTCGTTTTCTCCTTATCTTTATAAGTCGACATGGGACTTTACACTCACTCAATACGGTACAAAGTGTCTTGCTGATTGATCTTAAAAAAAGGATTGGAGACTATTTCTTCCCTTATCTTTTCTGGGTCTCCTATAAATTAATCGAGAAACATCTTTTCATCATGAAGCGATTTTATTTGTTTTGAAATCATAAAGTGAAACGTGTCGACAGCCATCTTAGTCTACAGCGAAGCATTTGTACTTTAGAATCATTTAAATAAATGAGACCTGAAGATTACACAAGTCAGTTATTATGGTTAATTTGTTTATTTATACTGACGTTAACAAACATTGGGAATGATAAAGCATCAATCCCATTTGAGTTAAAAGGATTTACGATCGAGATCATATAGGGTTTTATCATTTGTGTTCAATTATCTGGGAATTTCATGAATTCTAAGTTCTTCATGCAACATCCTATTTTTTAATAAAAATTATATTTTTATTTAAGAGTATACGGTAACCCTGTGCATATTTTTTTATTTGTGTGTTTGTATGAAAATGATTACATGCACCTTAATTGCAGTGGAGTATCGGAGGAGATATCAGGGGGCCCCTGCAAAATCAGGATTTGCCTTTAATATTTTATAAATTGGTTAAATACGTACCAATTATATCAGCTTCTTAATATTATATTTTATAAAATATTATGTTTTCTTAAAAATAAAACCGAGCACCCAGCGCAAAACGTTCTAAATCTGCTTGGTAGTGTATGAGTTAAAATATTTTTGTAAAATGTTATTCTAGAGAAAACCTCATTGTTTTTCGCATTTTTTCGAATGCATTTTCTTGCATTCAAATCTATGCGTCCTAAAGGGGTGCGGGAGTTAAATCGAATGCCACCCCAAACCATGATAACGGGTGCAGAACTAGTGTACTGATGCAGAGCGCAATAGTTCAGCAGCCTCTCAACACGGTGCCTCCAAACTCGAATCTGACCATCGTGATGTTGCAGGTAGAAGTGGGATTCATCAGTAAACACATTGTCGTTCCATTCCGTTGTCGATGTTCGCTGTTCATCGCACCATTAACGGCGCAAACATTTGTGGTTTCCAGTCAAGGGTAAACGAAGCAATGAACACATTGCGTACATTCCACTATGCTGCAAACGGCGTCGAATGGTACGAGCGGATACCGAATGATGCGTAATAGATTGAATCTGTTGTGCTATAATTCATGATGTAGCTACGAGATTCATCACTACCATGCGCACAATCCGCTGGTCATCATGGGCAGTGGTGCAACTAGGTGGGTGCGATCGGCCCCGTCGGTTCGTCATTTCCTCCTGCATTCAGCGAAAACAGATCTGCATCAGAGTTGCTTGGTTTTGTCTAACACGGTGACCTTCTTCTCTGAAAGGTAATCCTTATAGGCTATTATTCTCCCTCGGTCGAAGTCAGAAACTTGGTCAAAAGACGCTCGATGTCTTCTTCTTCGATTTGTCTTTTGAAAAATCTACATTAAAATCCCCACTTAAAATAAAGGGTGTTTTTTTTAGAGGTATAGAATTTTAAATTGCAATAAAACAACGATGTATTATTCGATTGACATGAATTTTTTTCTATTCGAAAGATAATCTTGTGGCATTACATTTTAAATATGATTTCTGGCATAGGACTGCCACGGCTGGCTCGGATGTAATCCAATTTTCGATGACTTTTTCCAACATTTGTGGCCGTATATCGGCAATAACACGGCGAATGTTGTCTTCCAAATGGTCAAGCGTTTGTGGCTTATCCGCATAGACCAATGACTTTACATAGCCCCACAGAAAATAGTCTAGCGGTGTTAAATCACAAGATCTTGGAGGCCAATTCACAGGTCCAAAACGTGAAATTAGGCGGTCACCAAACGTGTCTTTCAATAAATCGATTGTGGCACGAGCTGTGTGACATGTTGCGCCGTCTTGTTGGAACCACAGCTCCTGGACATCATGATTGTTCAATTCAGGAATGAAAAAGTTAGTAATCATGGCTCTATACCGATCACCATTGACTGTAACGTTGTGGCCTTCATCGTTTTTGAAGAAGGATTCCACCAGCCCATAAAGCGCACCAGTCAGTTTTTCTGGATGTAACGGTGTTTCGACATACACTTGTGGATTAGCTTCACTCCAAATGCGGCAGTTGTGTTTGTTGACGTAGCCATTCAACCAGAAGTGCGCTTCATCGCTAAACAAAATTCGCTTATGAAAATCGGGAACAACGGCAATCTCGTTTGGGGCCCATTCGACGAATCTACGCCTTGCTTGATCATATTTAAAATGTAATGCCACAAGATTAACTTTCGAATAAAAAAAATTCATGTCAATCGAATAATACATCATTGTTTTATTGCAATTTAAAGTTCTATACTTCTAAAAAAACACCCTTTAATAGGCAATTTGTTCAGAAGAGTTGATCCAGTTTCAGTATAGGCAACTAAATTTTTGTAAATGAATTCGATAATTTTCTCTACTCTTTGATTTGATGAGACAGAAATAGTAACCATTACGATTATTTGTCCTTTTTTGCTCTACATCTCGCTGCACAAATTTCTCAGCTACATGACTCATTAAACTCAAATGATTCAGTAGTTTTTGATGCTACATACATTTCTGAAGTGACATAAGTTGTCGCATCTCCCTTACTTTTATATATATAGCAACTCCACCAGCTCTGTGATTGTGTCTTTGGAATTTAGCAATACAATGAAAATTTGGAACATCTGTGTTTCCTTCATTATTTATCCAAGTTTCTGTTGAAATTAATATAGTGACATGTTGCATAACACTGTCATCGAGATCCAGATTATGTGCTCGTAAACTTTAACAATTCAAAGAATAAATTGATATTCCCTTTTTTGTGGAAATGAAGTTTGTGAAGATATCTGTGATTGTTTTAAGTTTGTTTTGAGATAACCTTTTAAATTTATTTTGTATATCTCTGTGAGTGATGTAAATTCTCTTAAAATTTTGGATTGGAATTTTCCGTAACACTGTAAAGTCCTTCAAGATTTGTTGCTCTAGATAACGCAACATACACCTATTGCTGAGAATGTGTTTATACTTATAACAAGTCTTGAAGGACTTACGGAAAATTCCGATCCTTTATTACAAGCGTTGCAAACCCGAGAGTAATAATGCTTGGCTTTTTAAAACGCCTCATTCAAGTTCACTCTCCAGCAAAACGCGCTTCAAGAAGTTACCACTTCAAAAAGAACAGACATTTAAAGTAAGAACAAAGAGATATTACCATGGGAACAAACGAAAAAGTTAAAAAATTAAACAACAAGAAAAGGAACATAAGATATGTAATCTTTAAAAAGAGTTCCTAAAAGTTCTGGCATTCCAGTATATAGTTGCTTATCTCACCACGTTTTTACTACTCTTTATTTAGTTCTGGGCATAAAAAGTGCTCTGCATTCATAACACCAGAATTGCAAATTTGGCCTATACTAGATGGTAGATTGCCTATTTTATTAAAATTATGGGCCATACAGGCATGGCCTAGTCGTAGTCTGAAGTCCGCCACTGCTTCTTTACGGGGCTTTTGACCAAACTTTTTTCAAGGGTCTTGTATGTTAGCCCCCAATCAAAGAAGTTTTGTAGTATGTTTTCAGAAGATATATTAGCGCTTATTGAAGTTTCGAAGAGTTTATTAAGTAGAGATAAGAGGCCGCGGTAGCCGAGAGGTATGGCTTGCCTTGTCACGAGTTCGAGCCCAATACCACTAAAGACCCGCCGTGTAGGGCAGCAATGCACGTTAAATCTGTCGAGAGTTGAAACGTCCTCCCGTTGGTATGGTAGTTAGGAGAGGGGGTTCCAGCTGAGGTGTCGTCCACGTCACTTGATCATGGTTTAAAATTACGTGGTCCGTCGCCAAAAGCCCTCGTGTACCTGAACAGTGCGACATTAATATTCAATCAATCAAGTAGAGATAAAAACAATTGAATTTTCGGAGGAATTCAGATAAGTTTTTAAAAATTTTTTTTATGAGCCAAAATTCTTCGTTCTTTTTTTCGCTATTTGATTGCATAAATCTTATGAAATTGACTCAATTTACCAATAAAAGGAGATACCAAGATTTCTCATTGCGAAAACACTTGATCAACACTATTATCGCTAGAACTACTTCAACACATGGGTAAATATATAATTATTCCTTAAGAAAACTGTTTTGAATTAATGAATGCTATTCTTGGCTCCTCCAAAAAAAATCTAGTTTATAAGTAAGTACGTGAAACTCCCGATAAGAAAAACGGAACTCAATTTTTATACCTTACTCATGAATATCCATTATCAATCATGGAGATATCATAGATCGATTTGAATATTTCGTTTTTCCTTATCTTTCCGATTTCTTAACTATCGAGAGTCAACTTGACATTGCAGTCAAGAGATTACTGCTAATTTTCCGGAAAAGGAAATAGTAATTACAAGTTGTAATGTTATCGTAAACTAAATCCAAAGTGGACTTTAAAATCTCAATTTTACTCTCCTTAATCTAAAGTAATCATTAATCAGATAATTTTGGTGAAGTGGCTTAACGATCTATTTATTCCTTAAAAGAAAGTAAACATATAGATTATGCAAACTTCTCAGTTAAAATAAGTAATATATATAAAAAAATTAAGTCAATTCCTATATATATATATACTTGGGTCAACAAAGAAAAAATTTATTTTAGTTTCTCTTTATTAAATATTTACAGTTAATATAAATAAGTATATATATATATGACAGAATCATAATATTAAATGACAAAATAGAAATCGATTTTCCTTGAAACTGTCCTTTCTATATAGGGTGTTGGATTAATTTTTTTGTTTGTTACTATTTATATTCATAAATTAAATTTTATTCTTCTAATAAAATAGTATAGTTAAAAAAAGCACATTCTCAGAAATTATGCCTACCCAGGTGCGATTCGAACCCACGACCTTTGGATTAGTAGTCCAACGCGCTATCCAATGCGCTACAGGGACACAACGCGCTTTTTTTCCCCATATATGTTGTTGAACTATAATTTTTTTTTGTTACTATTTATTCATTTTTTAATTTGATGAATGAATTAATATTTGAAAAAACTGTATTAACACCAAGTATCATCAACTACAAGTTTAAAAAATGTATTTGGACTTGAATGGATGAAAAGAAAGTACACTGGTGTGCAAAACTTAAGCAACAATGTAAAAATTAAGCAGATAACCATGAAATTGCAGAAAAGGAGGTCTGGAGATCAGTACAGTGAACACGTAAGTCAGTAGAAACGTCATGCGTATGCAAATATCAGGAACGAAACGTCAGAGGCGACGTGAGCGTACGTAAAACGCGTGATGTCGGCGCGTACTGCTCAACAGTAGAACAAAATGAAGGACGAAGACGCAATTCAACATATTCGCTGCAAGTGCCAGTGAGTCAGTTCATGAAATATGGCTAGAAGAAATCACCTGGACGACTTCACACGTGGAAGAATGATCGGAAAGCTGGAAGAGGGGCGTACTGTCACCAGTGTAGCTGCAAAGTTCGGAATCAACAAAAGTGTCGTTTCGCGTGCTTTGAAAGCGTTCCAAACCACAGGTAGAGCTGTTAGAAAGATTGGTGGTGGCCGTTCGAGGACGGCAACTGCAAGGGAGGACCTATGTATCATCCTGTAGGTGAAAAGAGGTCGAGACAACAGTCAGCAAGCGTCATTGCTCAGCAACTCTCTACAGCAACGCGGCGACAAGTGTCGCGGTTTACTGTGGGCAGCCCCCTTAAAAAGGAGGCCTATTCGCCCACCGTCCTGAACGCTGCCTCCCGTTGAAAGTTGCCCACCGACGCCACCGTTTACAGTGGTGCAGAGAGCACAAAAACTGGACAACTGATCAATGGAGTCGTGTCTTCTTTAAGGATGAGAGTCGGTTCAGTACCAGAAGCGATTCTCAACGCGTTTTGATTTGGAGAGAGATCGAGACCACGTTTTATTCCAGTAACATCAAGGAAAGACACTGTTACGGTGGTCCTGGAGTCCTTGTCTGGAGAGGCATTATGCTGAACGGGGGTGAACTGAGCTCCACATTTTCGACAGATGGTCTATAAACGGGGATCGCTATTGTGAGGAGGTACTTCTTCCCATGTGCGTCTGTTCCGTGGTGTCATTGGCCCAGACTTCATTTTTATGGATGACAATGCCTGGCCACATCGGACTCTTGTTGTTCAGGAGCTGCTGGAAAGTGAAGATATCCCTCGAAAGGATTAGCCAGTGTACTTCCCAGATTTAAATCCCATCGAACATCTGTGGGATGCTTTGGGGAGACGTTTTGCAGCACGCTTACATCATCCGGAGAATACCCAACAACTCAAACAGATGCTGATTGACGAATGGGCACTCCTACCGCAAGAAATGTTGCACCAGCTGGCTCTGAGTATGAGGAGACGGTGCGTAGCAACCATTGCAATGAGGGAAGGGCATATACCATATTAAGAAATATGTGCTTGCTGTTCTTCCTGTTGGATGAACAATCATGAGTCACGATACTATGCGTTCAATAAAGCTTGTTTTTGTTTGATTCCCTACCGTATCCATTGTATTCCTTTTTCAGAGCCGATGCTTTCGTCATCCTTTACGTACATAATACTCTCCCTCATTTCTGAATATCATGTCTCTCAGATGTTTTTCCGTGAAGTTATGGCAATAAAAACCCACATGTTACTTAAGTTTTGCACATCAGTGTATTTTATTAACGATTGAAAATTTGAACAAGATATATATATGAAATGCCTCTGGAACAATTTCGTTGAGTGGTAAATATATTGCAAGACGTGGTGAGTGGTTGATTAAATAATGGAGAACCAATGGTTGGGCGTGGCCGGTGGTGTGATTTTCTATGTTACGTGAAGCATGGTCTAATACGATAGTATCGAAGAGGCACTCATGTATTTCGCTATTCCTTTTTATTCACATCCAGAAGCACAAAGATCCAGTAGGGACGGCATTACACATACAAGAACCAAACATGAACGATACAATACAGACAAGCACATCACAGAACGCGCTGCAGCCGGCTACACAACTACAGAGAAACGAGCGAAGAGCGAAGAAGAGAAGAGAGAGGTTCCGACTTCCGACTTTTATTTTGGGAACTGGAACCTGGACAGATTCCTCCATCCCATATCTGGATCTTAGTGTGCCTTGCGCTGTTATTCCTGGTTCGGTGGTTGAAGGGGTGTGGCCAGTACGTGAGGGTCCAAAGGCGTACGAGGTGGTTAAAAGTAGGAACACGATTGGATGAGTGAGCATTGGACTTTAAAGAAAAATTGCCCGAAGGAGAGAGGTTTCCAGAGACATCGGCTTTTATACCTGATGTTGAAAACCACGTGACATGCTTGTAATAAGAGCTCTGATTGGTTACAAAGGGCGGGAAAGGGATTTATGGTGTAATATTATTAGTTGATTACGATTAAAATCAGGGTGTTAGTTTCGAACCAAATAATTAAAAGATTATTTGAATATTATTAAAAGAGTTAATTAAAAGAATGCTAGAGGGAATTATTACATTTTCCCCCTCCGCAAAACGCGTGTATGCACCAGGGCCCTTGACACACACCCGTATCTTATAGAGATATTAAAATTTAAATTAAAATTTTCAGATTAACATTATTTAAAAATTTTCCCTTTTCTTAAACATTATCATGAATATGATTTTGAACATGGAGAATATGGTCTTAGAAAAATACATAAATAAATTATAAAATATAAGATTGCACACTGCGAAAATATCAAAATAAGCTTATTAAACAATTGAAATAAAATTAATAAATTTCAAAAATATTTGTAAATTGCACACATCATGTAGAGGTATAAAAATATTTGTACATAGAAAGTCATTTCTTTCCTGCTCTTGTTTGGGAAGTAGTGGCCTTGTCCAAGTTAGCTAGACTTGACAAGGTTGAGACGTGTCCGGACACTGGTAATTATAAATATGCTAGGCCAGAGGATTCTTTTCTCTAATTTGGGATTTGTTGAATTTTAACAAGGCTCTCCGAGCTCTGAGAATCAGTGTTAGTAATCAAGGATGAGTCACAAGTAAATGGGATGTCTAAATTGAGATTGATTAAAAGGTCATTGTTGCTTCCAATAGTTTGCATTGGGAGTACCTTATTGAATATAAATTCACATTAAAATTTCTAAAATACAAAAATAAATTCTTAAAAATAGATTCAAATTTGTATACAAGACAGAGCACTGAGGGTGAAAACAGGCTAGAAAAAACAATTTAAGAGATTGACCCACGCCTTGCACAATCATTAAGACAAGTTTTCCTTCTTATCGTGTGTATTGCACAATAACTTCAAAAACAGAAATTTCCCAAGACTGGAAATTGTAAGTCAACCAAAAAAGAATATTTTTTAAAAACTTTTTATGATTTATTTTTATTTATGTTATGCTTTATCTCTTAAAAAGATGCAAGTTAGGTGGCAATAGTATTTTGACAGTCAAAGGTGTAGTCCTTTGAGGTACTCACTATGCACAATCCTTACAAAACCTTTCTTATTTAGTATTTCTTCTGTATGTTAAAATTCGCTTTTTTTTACTTTTAATTATTTACTTATATCTTCTCAGCCTAAGTGCTCTCAGACCATTATAATTTTATATCTATAAAGCCTGTTTATAATCCAGTAATTTTTCTTAAATGTATCTGGTTCCACTCTAGTGTTTCTTATTAATATTATATGAATCTTACCCCATCGGTTACTTTATGGTTTATTCTGTTTTTCAATTTATGTGTAAAAATATTTTTATTTCTCGATTATATTTAAATTTATTGATTGGACAATCAAACTTGAAACTCTACCTATTCTTGTGAATGTTCTTATTATAAAAATATCATTTTAAATACGTTTCCAGAGATCTCGGGTTTATATTTTTGAATTTTGATTTTGAATGTGAGAAATGGTGCTATTATGGGTTTTTTTTCAAGTGTTTATTGAATTCTTACCAATGTTTTAATATTTTTATTTTGAGAATCACTGGTTTGAAAAATGGCTTGCGCTGCACTTTTCTGAAACAACATATCCAAAACATAGGCGTGATGATTGATTTGTATTTTTTTTCTTTTTACTTTTCTTCTTCCACATATCAGCATCATTTCTTTCAGAATAATTTCAATTGAAGCACTTTCTTTTGATTCCTGAGACATACTATTGCAGGTTAGGAAGATTTAAGCTTTTCGACTAAGCAAGAAAACGGGAATTTTCCCTTTCCGAACACTTGAATGAACATATCTACAGACATTTTTTTTTTCTTCTTCATTTTGGTTAATTATTTGGACAAACTTTTTCTTTCCAGCGTAGAAATATCCTGCCGACTTATGAAATGCCTCTGGAACAATTTCGTTGAGTGGTAAATATATTGCAAGACGTGGTGAGTGGTTGATTAAATAATGGAGAACCAATGGTTGGGCGTGGCCGGTGGTGTGATTTTCTATGTTACGTGGAGCATGGTCTAATACGATAGTATCGAAGAGGCACTCATGTATTTCGCTATTCCTTTTTATTCACATCCAAAAGCACAAAGATCCAGTAGGGACGGCATTACACATACAAGAAACAAACATGAACGATACAATACAGACAAGCACATCACAGAACGCGCTGCAGCCGGCTACATAACTACAGAGAAACGAGCGAAGAGCGAAGAAGAGAAGAGAGAGGTTTCCAGAGACATCGGCTTTTATACCTGACGTTGAAGACCACGTGACATGCTTGTAATAAGAGCTCTGATTGGTTACAAAGGGCGGGAAAGGGATTTATGATGTAATATTATTAGTTGATTACGATTAAAATCAGGGTGTTAGTTTCGAACCAAATAATTAAAAGATTATTTGAATATTATTAAAAGAGTTATTTAAAAGAATGTTAGAGGGAATTATTACATATATATATCTATAGGTAGAGTGTGAACTAATAGTAGGAATTGAATGACGGTGCTGAAACATTCTGA